CAGCAGGAACTGAGGCTCAGGGAAGCTGAGGCGGCTGGAGCCCCAGACAGCTCCTCTTAAAGGGCCCGCGCACGGACTTATTGGACTCTCTCCCTCTAAGCTTGGAGGGGAGGCAGCTTGAGGGGAACCAGAGACACACAGGGAAGAACTGAGCTGTTTGGCACTGGAGCGAGGGCTGGAGAGGGGGCTTTCTCCGGGACAAACGTGCTGTCAGAGGCCTTTGTTCCTTTGGTGAGCCCTTCCCGGGGGCGGCAGACAGAAGCCATATCTGGGACTCCAGCAACCTGGCTCACACTGGTAGCCCCGCCCTGGTGACTCCCTGAGGCCCCGCCCCACACAACTTTCAAGCTCACCCAAGCTGTTGCCACTTGCTTAACCATAGGATTGGCCTGTCTTGGAACCTGCTTCAGGTTTTTCCTAAATTCTTTCAAACGAGCAGCATCTGGTCTCAGCGAGCCCCATACCTCTCATTAAGTAATACACTGAAACAAACACAGGGAGGCAACCAAAATGAGGAGACAAAGAAACAGGTCCCAAATGAAAGAACAGAACAAAATCTCAATAAAAGAACTAAGCGAAATGGAGATAAGCAACCTAACAGATACTGAGTTCAAAATACTGCTTATAAGGATGTTCAATGAACTTAGTGAGAACCTCAATGAACTTAGGGAGGGCCTCAAGAGCATCAAAAAGGACCAGTCAGAAATCATGGATACACAGTTAGAATTGAAGGAGGCATTAATTGAAATAAAGAATAATTTACACAGCTTCAGTAATAGAGTATGTAAATCCAAGGAGCAAACCATCGATTTGGAATATAAGGAAGCAAAAAAATCCCCAATCAGAACAGCAAAAAGAAAAAAGAATTCAAAAAAATGAGGACAGTGTAAGGAGCCTCTGGGACAACTTCAAGCGTGCTAACATTTGCATCTTGGGGGTGCCAGAAGGAGAAGAGAGAGAACAAGAAATCGAAAACCTGTTTGAAACAATAATGGCAGAAAACTTTCCTAACCTGGTGAAGGAAACAGACATACAAGTCCAGGAAGCACAGAGAGTCCCAAACAAGATGAACCCCAAGAGGCCCACACCAAGACACATCATCATCAAAATGCAAAAGATTCAAGACAAAGAGAGAATCTTAAAAGCAGCAAGAGAAAGGCAGCTAGTTACCTACAAGGGAGTTCCCATTAGGCTGTCAGCTGATTTCCCAAAAGAAACTTTGCAGGCCAGAAAGGAGTGGCAAGAAATATTCAGAGTGATGAAAACCAAGAACCTACAACCAAAATTACTCTATCCTGCAAAGCTGTCATTTAGAATCGATGGACATATAAAAACTTTCCCAGACAAGAAAAAGTTAAAGGAGTTCATCACTACCAAACCGTTATTATATGAAATGATGAAGGGTCTTTTTGAAGAAAAAGATAAAATGTAAGAACAAACAAAATGGCAATGAATACATATCTGTCAACAATGGAAACTACAAACAAAATGAACAGGTAGAACAGAAACATTCTCATAGATACAGAGAACATTATGTTGGTTGCCAGTTGGGCGGGGGGTTGGGGGAATGAGTGAAAAAGGTGAAGGGATTAAGAAGCACAAATTCATTGCTAGACTGACAAACCTCAAAGGGAAAGGGTTTGGGGGGGTGGGAAGAAATAAACCAAAGAACTTATATGCATAACCAATGGACACAGACAATAGTGTGGGAAAAGGTGGGAGGGGGGCGGGAGGGGGGAGGAGGGGGGTCAATGGGGGAAAAATGTGGAACTTCTGTAATACATTTTACATCCAACAATAAAGATTTGAAAAAAAAAAATGACTCAAGGAAAAACAGTAGTATGAGAACAGGGGTTATTTCTAGGTGGTGGAATTATGGGTGACTTTTGTATCTTTATTTTTGTTTATCTGAAATTTGTGCAAAACAACACATACAAATATTATAATAAGAAAATGGGAATTTAAGGGGATGGAGGACTGGAGGAAAGAAGGTGAAGAGATTAGCCAAAGAATATATCCACATAGCCCATGGACACAGACAACAGTGTGGTGATGGCCAGAGGGAGGGGGAGCCGGGCCTGGGTGGAGGTGGGTAATGGGAGGGGGAAATGGGGGACATCTCCGATAGTGTCAACAATAAATAAATAAATAAATAAATAAATAAATAAATAAATAAATAAAAATGGTTATTTAAAAAAGGAAACAACAATAAATTTGTATTATGATATTCTATAGATTAAAAGAAAGTCTGCAAATTATAGATAAGAAAACATTTTTTACCGGTATCCTTCTATAATTTCTATAATATTTCTTTTGTGTTTTGTTCTTAGAAACCAAAAATTAAAGAATGTATTTGGGAGCTGGCAATGAATAGATTTAATGAAAACTACAACTACCTGTATAAATATTAAAAGTGCAAGAACAAAATGTATTTATTCTCGAGAAACAAGAGAATTTAAGGAACAATACACTATATATTTATCATATTGATTACTTTTAAAACTACAATAAAATTTAATTATCTCTTAAATATTTTGAAATATAATTATATGAAAATAATCTTCTTGGGTTTAATATTTACATAAGTATTATTGTTTTCCAAAATAAATAATTTTGATTTGCACAAAACTTTTGTTTATTACATTAGTTTGCTTATGAGGTAGTGTTTAAATGGTTTTAGTCATATTCCATTGACTTAATATTTCAGCTACAGTCATAAATTAAAACCAAACTTTATCATACCACACTATTGATTTACTGTGTTCATCCAACTTCACAGTTTCACCTCAGAGTTTAGTGGAATAAATAAAGGCAAAGAATAAATTCTGAAGTATCTTTGGAACTTTGTGGCTAAGTCTCAGACTGGAAAGAACATTAGTGGTGTGGCCATCAGTTGTCATTAAAATCACATCACAAAAACTTTATAAAACAGCAGTTTATTTATTTTAGAATGACAACAAATTTATCATAAATGGAGGCAGTAAAAACACTCATTTTGAAGTCTGGAAAATGTTCAAGACTTTTGAAATATTTGGATAAAACTTGGCTCATTTCTGTTTAATTTGTCCTATCCAATTTTAGTCAGAAAATTCTATTTATTCAAACTAGCCATAATTAATATTGGGCATTGTGTGTGTGTGTGTGTGTGTGTGTGTGTGTGTGTGCGCGCGCGTGTCCGACATGTGGTTATTACATAATTGTATGTCTGAGGCTATTTGAAATAATACCTCATGAGAATTAGATCACTAGACTATGAAGAAAGATTAAAAGCTTTGAGTGAGGGTTTTGGAACTAACATTGGAAATAGTTTATAAATTTATTTTTCTTAAAAAAATTTCAGGATTATGTCTAATAAATTTATTTTAAGGCCAGATGTTTATGACTTTTATGACAAGGTAACACCTGTTTTTTTTCTACTTCTTAATTTTTTAAGAGGAATAACAACAACCAGTTATTAAAAATAAAAAATGTATTATTTGAAATACATTACATCAGAGCTATTTCAATAAGCCTTGAGAAAGATTCTATTTAATAAACAATTTGTAAAATGAACATTATTTACTTATCTTTCCACAATAATTCAAAGGTAATCATTAGTCTTCATCTACATAGGTTTCTTGCAGTATATCAAAAACAGTTTTATAGTCTTTTCAATTAAAACAAAATACACAGTATTTGTCAGTAGGCATATATCTTTCAAAACGGAAGGCATTATCTTGCATAATATGAACTGTTACCCCAGATAATAACATGTTCTGAATAGATAGATTTATTCATTCTAGACAAGCATTTTACTAAAACAAGCATAAACAGATGAACAGAGCATCGTGTGTGTGCATGTGTCCCAATCAATCTTCAGAGACGTGGATGAGCAGATACAATAAATCATTGCAAGAATAGAAAAGGTAAAAATTGATCACAGATAGGCAATGTAGGGCATCTCAGTTGAGAGCTAGAGATTTAATTTGGATCTTAGAAGGATGAGAAATATGAATCAACATAATGGCACTCTGGTGAATTCTAGGGTAGAGAAGAGACTAGCAATAGAAGCATCATCATAGTTAATACTTCTGATACTCCAGTCAATGAGGCAGTGCTGACAGGAAGACAGAGGGACGAGTAGGGGACAACAGGATGTTTTCTGGTGTGGGGATTACAGAGGGTCAAGTTCTCTTGGTCAATGTTCTCATGGTTTGGGATATGTAATCTATATTCTATTTTAAATTCTGTCAAAGAAATATCTTTTAAATGGAAATAAGCATTACATTTAGAGAATCAGAACCAAGAATAGCAATATTTCTCTTGTATGGGGCTGAAGAAATAAAATATTGGGGAAAGCATCTCTTTAGTTAATTTGGTATTTTTTATTTTAAAGGTGTCTTGCCTGGGAAGTATAGTTTACTCTTAAGAACTTTTCAAAATACCTAAAGTTTAATTATCTGGTCAAGGGAGATATAAGTTATTATTCATATATGCTCAGTAAAATATAGAGCTCTAATTTGAACCCAGGTCCAGTAAATTCTTATTTAGTTTTCTTTAAATATTAATTGAGAAGTAAATATGTGCCTGGCATTATGCTAGGTGCTATCACAACAGGCAGAATTATATTAACTTGTTTTAACCAAACTAAAAATAATTTGGCCCTGGCCGGTTTGGCTCAGCGGTTGGAGCATCGGCCTGCAGACCAGACAGTCCCGGGTTCAGTTCGCACTAGGGGCATGTACCAAAAATAAATAAATAAATAAAAATAATTTGATTTAGGTATCTCTCCAGATCTCAGAATTCTATAGATCAGATGGAAACAATAATTTCCAAAAAAAAAAAAAAATTATGCTAAAAATTAGTATAGTGCTTCTCTAGAAGGAAAAAACCATGATCCTTTACCTCTGATAATATGCCATTTCAGATATTGTATAGCTGTCAGAGAAAATACAATAAAGAGAAAAAGAATTGTAGATAGTATCCAACAAAGAGAACAACAAAACATCTGATCATCCCACCTGTTGACTAGATATTCCCAGTTGAGCTGTATCCAGTTCCAGGCCATGTTCTTCCCATAGCTGTTATATGAGATATATCGGATGACTGTAAACACATCCTGACTTTTAATAAAGTTTGAGTCCTTGAGCAAATCCAAATACCTAAGAGAAGCCAAAAATTAAATATGAACTTTTAATATTCACCCTTAGCTGAATTCCAATAGAACATAGCTTTCATTCCTGTAATTCAATTCTTGAGGCACCAAACAACAAAGTTAATTAAATATGACAAATAAGAAAACACAATTTAAAATTTTCTGAAGTATTTAACTGTTTTTAAAAACAATCTATGGTTTTGAGAAATGGTGTGTTGTAAACTGCGGGAACATTAAAACTTGAATTACTTTGAAAGTACTAAAAATAATTTAAAAACACAATTTTAAGTATTAATTATTTGTGACAACACAGATGGATCTGAAGAATACCATGCTAAGTGAAATAAGTCAGAAAGATCAAGAACCATATGATTTCACTTATGTGTGGAATATAAAACTGAAAGCAATAAATGAACAAATCAAACAAACAAAAAACTTGTAGACACAGACACAGTATGGTGGTGTCCAGAGGGCAAAAAGGGTGAGGGGTTGCAAAGGATAAAGGGGTCAAATATAAGGTGACAGAAGATTTAACTTTGGGTGGTGGACACACAATGCAATATGCAGATAATGTCATAGAAATGTACAATTGAAACCTATATAATTTTATTAACCAATGTCACCCCAATAAATAAATAACAAAAAAATTGTATCCACTGAATAGAAGCACTCTACCCATTTACCTGTTATCCCACTGAACTACACAATGGAAAACGGAGTTAATAAGTTAAGGGAAAGCATTTCTATACTAATTTTCTGTGGGATAACAGTGGCCTTATTTGTTCCTTCGCAGAGTGTAAAAAACAAATTCCTAATGTAACCTGTGTGGTTAAATTAGTTTATAATTATAGTATAATGTAAATAAGTCTAAATCGGCCCAGCTGGTGTGGCTCAGTGGTTAAGCATCGACCCATGCACCAAGAGGTCACCAGTTCGATTCCCAGTCAGGGCGCATGCCCAGGTTGTGGGCCAAATCCCCAGTGGAGGGCACGCAGGAGGCGGCAATCGATGTTCTCTCTCATTGATGTTTCTATCTCTCTCTCCCTCTCCTTCTCTCTCTAAAATCAATCAATAAAAAAAGAACTTAAAAAATAATAAATAAGTCTAAATCAATAGATTAAGAGACCAAACCAATAGATTTTTATTAAATTTATATCGTGTCTATATCTAGAGGGAATATCTCAACATGCTGTAGGCCATTGAACTTCCAGAAACTGCACTGGAGTGGTGGGTCCCTGAATTTTCATGCAATTTATCTTTTACCCTCTAGTTCACAAGAGTCTTAGTAAGGCATCTAAGTACTTGTTAATTTTCTCATCAGATACAGTCAGCACAATGCCGTCCAAGTAATTGATCAATGTGATGTTCTGTGTACTGCCCAGATGATCGAGGTCTTGGTAGACCATCTTAGATCAGAGCAGGAAAACTGACATACAGCCCTGAGGCAAGATGGTGAAGGTGTATTGTTGGTACTGCCAGGTAAAAACAGTTTCTGGTAGTTCTTGCAAATAGGGTATTGCATGGTAATTTATAATTTACATTCTGCCTCTCCCATGAACCTATAAGTTTCTCAAGGGTATATATCATGTCTCATTCATTTGTAGCTCCACTATCTATATACCTATACATAGAAAGGACATCAGAGGATTTGGTTAAAGGAATGAAGTAAATAACTCAGAAACCATAACTAAACAAAAAACATGAATTAAGGCAGAAGTTAGTTGACTTGTGGCATAGGTGTGCAGTAGAAGATTCATAGACGAGCTTCAGAAGTCTTTATACATTTTGACTAAAATGTAAATACCTCTTATTTGTGTGTGTACGCATATTGTGGCCAACATTCCTCCTCTGCTTACAGAAGCCAGTTTTGTTCTAGGTTTAGATCAAGGTATCCTTGATCATAGGAAAACTAGACTCCTATCCCGGCCCCAGAGAAACATGACTGATCCAAATCAGTTAGAGGAATTCAGGTTCATCCTAGGCCACAAAGGATCATGTGAGAGACCCCGAGTATGGCCCAGAATGATCAAATGTGACCCAGTTCTGGATTAATAGGGAAGTGGAGATGACCAACTTCTGAACATAAAAGACAAAGCCTTGTGAGGAGAAACTCTTTTGCTTCTGTCCTTCTTCCATTGAACATATATGTATGAAGACAAAATATGTGAACCCTGTAAGTCATGAGACATCCAACATGTTGAGGATAACAAAACAGAAAGAGAAAGAGCCTAGGTCCGTGATGAAAATATTGAACCACTGCACACAACTGAAAACTGTCTAGAATTTTTTCATATGAAATTATATTTCTTTACTGGTTAAATCCCTATTACATAAATAGCTTGTTTCTTGTAGGGAAAACAATTTTTAATAAATTTTCTTGGAAACATGTCGTACTTTAACAGCATCCATAAGAGACTGTGAGGCATAAACTATCAAATACTAGTCATAGAAGTAAAAAAAGAGAGCTCTACTTTACCTTGACAAAAGAGCAACATTCTTCACGGATGCTAATGCATACAGCAGCTTTTCTTTCTCTTGAGCCAATGGAGTGGTCTGATATTTATCAAGAGTGTAGTTCCATGAGGCCTCGTTGCCAGAGTGCTGCATTCCATATCGGTATACCAGCAGCCTGAGATTTACAGGAATCCTAGAAGAATACACGACGTTTCAGAGATTTTCTTTTTTCTTTTTCTTTTTTCGCAGTTTAAAGTCTTCTAAAATGAAAACACAATGAACGGTCACCTGACAGCCCCCGTGAGCCACTGCTGAAACAACTGTGAGGCGTTGCCCAGGGCCTCTCTGTCGCCCATCTTGCACGCGAACCCTAACACAGAGGCGCGGAGCAACCTTAGGAAACAAGCACACACAAAGCTGGGCCTTAAGCACGTTTCAACACATCTTAAAACACACAAACAGATCTTAAATGGATGTGAGTCTTTAAAATGTAAAAAATAACTTTGTGATGTGGTCTCCAGTATCTTCCCACGCCAGATCGTCTGCAACCGGCTTCACTTGGTCTCGGAAATACTCCTGAAATAAAAATACCAAGTACAATGAGTAAGAACTTGTTCTTTATCAACAGTCTTTTACATGTTATAAATCTACAGCCTCCCAGTTGTAACCTTTTTTCCTACTAGTTCAGAGAACTTTGGGCCCGTTGTTAGGAAAGGAACGTATTCAGTTCTCAACACATTGCAATATTGCTTCGATCCTGAACACTCTCTAGTATTTTACACAACTTAGGGAGATTCTTTGAGCTTCGTCTCACTTAACACTTTTAAAAAACAGAATAACACTTGACATATTTGCTCAAGTATTGATGAAATTATAATAATGACATTATTTCAATATTTGTATATTGCCTTTGGGTTTACAAAGGACATTTATATTACCATAGCCAGCCTAGTGTTGACATTTCTATTGTACAAAGGAAACTAAGACTCACAAATATTAAACCATTTGTCCAGGTTATCTCATTTACTAAGTGGAAGAGGCAGAGATTTGAATCCAGAATTTGTTGGAAATTTCAAGTGTCTCGTCACAGTGCTACAGAAATCACCAAGCAGAGGAACGTATTTAGAATGACTATCTCATAATAAAATCTCAATGTGGAAATAGCAGTAAAAATAAAGAAATATAATGTTTTATTTGGGGAAAAATAAGTTCATTCTGATTTAGATGAATCCATTAAAAATAGTGTCTAGTTAGTATCTGTGATTTAAAGTGTTGCCTTTTTTTTTTTTTATCCTCATTCGAGGACATTTTTCCATTTTTTGTACAGACAGAGTGGGAGGGAGAGAGAGGAAGAGAGAGAGAGGGAAACATCGATGTGAAAGGGACACATCGAGGGGCTGCCACCCGCACGACCAACCAGGGCCGGGGACAAACTGCAACCGAGGTACATGCCCTTAGCGGGAACCGAACCCGGGTCTCTCCGGACCGCAGGTGGACGCTCCAACCGCTGAGCCAAACCGGCCAGGGCAAATGTTGCCTATTTTAAATGACATATTGATTATTGTATTCCTTCTAATACTAAAACATGCCTTTAAGTGGTATACTGAACCAGAGGTACTGATACATTTCACGTGGAAAAAGTAAATAGCATCTCTTTGCTTTGACTAGTCATTGTACTTTCCTTTGATTTCACTTGCAAGGAAGACGTGTTTTGTCCCCCAGGAGCTTCTTCGCTCAGAAATTTTCCTATTCCATTAATGACTAAACATTCATTTTCATAAGATACACCGTTCACATCTCACCTCAATCACAGGGTATAGCTCTTTATCATCTTCAAACATGCTAATGATATAGGTTACAGCCGAAATGGCTCGCTGCCATGGTAAAAAGTCCTTTTCCGCTTTGAGATACTTGGTCAAGTTCAGAGCCACCTTATAATCTAGAAGTTGAGCTCTAAGAAAGGAAAAACAAATCACAGTTAATTAAAAGGATAAACTAGTTTCTATTTCATTGAAAGAACTAATATGGGAACTACGGAATTCAATAATGAGAATCCTTCTATTACATGATTAAGAAAATGCATGTATTATTGAAGCCTAATCAAAGAGTTTTGTTTACAGTGATATATTATATTTTCAAACATTTAATAGTGAAGAGAAGATAAAACATTAAGATGGCCCTGGCTGGTTTGGCTCAGCGGTTGGAGCCTCAGTTTGTGGACCAGAGAGTCCAGGGTTCGGTTCCCGTTAGGCCTTAGGGGAACGTCTTTTTTTTAAAAATACATTTCCCAATAATACAGTTAAATAAAAGTGAGTTTTGTTCCTCTGTAAAATTTAAAGTTACTGTCGACATTTCAACGTTTAAAGAATCCAATTTCTTCCTCCTTACAAGGAAGGTGTTTTCTTAGGATACTTCTGAAGAGTAGTTGTTGCTTTAAGGATTTTAGAAGGGTCTCTAAAACCTTTTGAAATCATGTTCTTAGAAATCTGTCATGCTTCAATTTTTAGACTAGGTTTTGGAACATTTTTTATGGGAATCTTGTTTTTCCAAATTACATTCTGAAAGCTTAACTTAAAGAATACATTTTAGCGTGGTCAGTGTGGGTCAGTGGATTGAGTGTCGTCCCATGGACAGAGAGGTCCTGGTGAGGTTCCAGGTCAGGGCACATGCCCAGGCGGTGGGGGTCAGTCCCCAGTAGGGGGCGTGCAGGAGGCAGCTGATGAATGTATCTCGCTCACATCAATGTTTCTATCTCTCTCTCTAAAAAATCAATAAAAATATTTTTTTAAAAAAGAATACACTTTAAATAACTGAATTGGTAAAACTGATGCACTGAGGGCTATTATGTTTGAGGTCATTCTGTAAATAAAGAATAATCGAATTATATCTTGACTTCTCCCTAAGAGTTTGATTAGAGGATGAACTAGCATTGGAGAAATAAATAAGAATAAAAATCTTTGGCATCACATGATTTTTACTGAGATATGATACAGTTTTCTTTGCAGTTCAGACCGTTAATTTCTCTTATTTTTCTCAGTTCCTGATCTGATTTAGGAGTTATATTTTGGAGTATTCAGCCTCCCTTCATAAACGTATAAATGGAGTGTTTCACTGAGAATGTTTGTTAAGTAAAAAAAAAAAAAGTAGAATGTTGTATTGACATTTGAAACTTGATAATTTTCTAATTTTAATGATTCTCTATTTTCTTTGAGCAACAATTACGTCGAACCGGTGTTTCCGTAGGATACTTCTGAAGAGTAGTTGTTGCTCTAAGAATCAAGTTAGCAAAGAGGCTAAGGAAAGTTTCAGGAAGAACGGCAGGGAATTCGGTCAGAAATCAAGTGGGCTGTGCATTTCTGGCAGGTGGAAAGATTAAAGGGTCTTGGTTACAAGGACCAGAAGAATTGGCTAATTCTGTTCCATAAATCGAAGGAGGGAATCTGACGATCCAAAGGTGAGACCCCCTGACTAAGTACTAGGTATTCAAATGAAAAATCAATATCCTGTCTTAGCATCTTATTTTTCCAGCACACCGGATAGCTCTGCAATAGTTCTGCTTTGCTATCACTTGTTTTCTTTAAATCTAAGTCATAGAGTCAGCACACTAGACCGGAAGTGAATTTTGAATGCTTGATATTATAGAAGATACTTTGAGAATTAATATAATGTATTCTGCAGCTCCTACCCATGAAATTGGTGGTGCCTGATACTTCAGAGAAAAAGCAATGCCATTTAGAACCATGACTCTCAATCTGAAACGTGGGTTAAATCACATGACTGTGGGCCCCACTCCCAGAATTTCTGTCTCGTTGAGTTCAGCACAGTGTCTTGTTAAACACTGCTCTGGAACGAGACAGTAGAACAAATGAGAAAGGTGCCTTGGCGGATGGAACTGGCCCCACGTGCTCAGGTGGTGTGGAGAGTTTTGTAAAGTTCCCATGTATCTGGTCTCTCAATATTAACTTGCCAATAATTAAATTCAGATTTCTGACTCAAAACAGTCTCTTTGCAATTGACCAGACCCCTTTTTATCTTTCTCCGTATTCCTACTCCACGAGGAGGTAGGGAAATTGCTTATTCAGCTCTGCATTGTCCTCTGGTTACCCCTGCAAACACCTGTATAATGAAAACTGGTCATTTTGGCATGGCTGATGTTCACCTGGTGATCTTTATTTGCTGACCTGGCCCTCACCATGCACATGGGAGTCACTGGTCCTTAAAACCTGCTGGAATTCTGTTTGCATCATTAGCTTAAATGGTCTTTTACGCTGTCCTCCCTGCCTTTCTTCCATCACCCAGAAACTCCTGCTCCCACCCATGGGCTTGCTAGCCAGCTCTCTGCTTTACCTTGTTAGACTTTACCCCTCTCCTGGCTTCAGCACACAGTGGCTGCCAAGCACAACATAAGCCATTGAAAAGGATAAAACCCACCGCAACAGGTGTACAATGAAGGATTATTTTCTGTCTCCGTTTTGGTAAGGCCCCACAACTAGGCCTTGGCCTACACTCCTAAGTGAGATGCAGGCCCACCGAGCCAGAGCTAATGTGGTCAGGAGCGGCTTCATGACCTTGTTAATAATCCCCCCCCATCCTGATGAAGAGGCCGGAGCAGCGAAGGGGAGAGTGACACTGCAGAAGGGGCGTTGGGAGTGCGTCCGTGCACCGTCCGTGCACCGGGAGGTCATCCCTCACTTCAAGCCCAGGAAAGGGGCCTCTAATGGGACCATCTGAAGAATGTTACAGGTGTATCCTGGAGCCTGGAGGCACAGTGGTCTGGCATCTGACACCCTGAGGAATCGAAAGGATGAGAGGCCAAGTCTGGCTAATGCTCTGACCTCAGAGTGAAAAGACAGGACTGCATGGGTGGACTGTCCTTTCAGATTTTGTCAGGGCAAAGGATCCACGAATTCTTCTATGGACCAGAAGTGGCTCAGAGGTGCTCATTTGCCTCTCAAGGTAATTGCAGGAGAAACACCCGTAGCCATGAAACAGGTGTGAGGAGCAGAAAACAAACAAAAGCGCATGAAGACTCTGCACAAGGGGAAGAGTCGGTGTTAAATAAATATCTACAAAGTCCAGAGAGGAGCGAAAGCGAACAGCATGTCAGGAGTCTTCCTCCCTTCACCCGCTCTCCGTGCTGCGACATTGGAGGAGCCAGAGGCAGCACGAGGAACCAAAGCAGACGGTCCACGCAGGGGAATGGAGGGGAATCAAGCACGCTGTTCCCACTGCAGTGCTGGTCTGGTCTGAAGCTGGCTGGAGCTGGGGGCTGGGAGAAACTTTGCATGAAGTTCAAAACTTAAATGGTTTTATTGGGCTGGGCATATAAGCCAACTGAGCCTGTTTGGGAGACTCAAAGTGACTGGGTGAATTTGTACTCTATGTCTTAACAAATGTGTCCAGCTGGATATTCCATCCAGGGCAGTAAGAGTACTAGCTCCTCTGATCTGGGGACAGGGGAATCAAGAACACATTCTTTTGAGATGCACCCTTGCTCAAGAAACATGACCTTTATATATATATAAATATAAATAAATAAATATATATATATAGATATATATATATATATATTTTAACATCTGAGTAGATCTGCGTAAATTCTAGTCCAGGCACTTCCCCATCTAACTCCACATTTCTGCCTTCTTCCTTCCTAAAGTTCCAAGTGGTCTGGACCCATCTCCCACTAACACTGGAGAAGTCTGCTCCTCTCTGAGTCCGGTTTTGCTTGTGTTGCGGAAAGAAACGGGACGCTAGTTCAATAGCTCAGGTTGCAGGTCACATCTCAGGTATTTTCTAGATTGGGTGTCATGTGATTCTCCATATTTTTTGGTTTTCAGATTTGTTTCACTTCCTTTCTTTCTGCAGCTCTTCAAAATGTGATGGCGCTATGGCCAAAGAGCTGAGTAAATGGGAGGAAGGCTGTCACTTGTGTTAGTGGCTTCACAGGCGGCTCCTCAGAGAGAGCTGTTCCAGAGGCTTCACCCCGCAAGGCACGGAGGACGGTGTGCGCTGGACTGTGAGGGGAGGCTAGCTATGAAGATACTACAGTTCTGTGGCATTTTTAACAGCAAAGATCTTATGCTTTGGAAAAGATCATTATGTATGCATAGGAGAGTTTTCTTTAAAAAAATCTGAATGGTTCTACGTTTTAAAATATTGATCATCTCCTTTCACCACTTAATTTGCCAGGTCTACACAGTGCCTGGTACAGAGTAGGTGCTCAATAAATATTTATTAAATATGTGACTGACACACTGTAATATAATGGAAATGCAGTATAGTTCCCCCTTCTCCACAGGGGATATGTTCCAAGACCCCCAGCGGATGCCTGAAAGTGTGAGAGTATCAAACCGTGTGTGTGTGTATATGTGTGTGTGTATTTTCCTATACATGCATGCATGTGATAGAGTTTAAATTATAAATTAAGCATAGTAAGAGATTAATAATAATAACTAATAATAAAATAGAACAATTATAACAACATACTGTAATAAAAGTTATGTGTCAGACTTTGGTTGACCACAAGTAACTGAAACTGTGAGAAGCAAAACTGTGAGTAAGGGGCAACTACTATAATTAATTTGTTATTTACCCAGGAGATTAAACTTGGAGACTCACTAAAGGGAATCATAACAGCTATTGCCTACAAAAGGAATCTTCATTACAAATTTATAAAAGCTTGTCTAAATGCTTCTTTGTTGCTACTGATCAATGGTGGATATATTTTACAATGTATTGAGCACTTGTTACAGGCCAGCAATGTTTTGGGTGTTTTGTGTACATTACCTCATTTATTCCTCAAGAGCCTTTGAAGGTCATCTCCATTTCACTAATAAGGAAATTGAGTCAGAGAGAGATTAAGAAACTTACTCAAGGTTATACAGAACAAGGACTTTAATCTGGTCTGAGAACCTGTTTTTAAACCTTATAGTTTTCCTCCTTAAAAAAACGTCAACAAAGAAGACATGCAGGTGGCCAAAAGACATACGAAAAGATGCTCAACATCATTAATCATCCGAGAGATGCAAATCAAAACCACAATGAGATATCCTCTCACACCTGCCAGAATGGCTGCCATTAATAAATCAATGAACAAGTCCTGGGAAGGATGTGAGGAAAAGGGAACCCTCATAGCGCTGTTGGTGGGAATGCAGACTTGTGCAGCCACTGTGGAAAACAGTATGGAGTTTCCTCAAAAAATTAAAAATGGGAATGCCTTTTGACCCAGTGATCCCAATTCTGAGACTACATCCTAAGAATCCCAAAACACCAATTCAAAAGAATATATGTACCCGTATGTTCATAGCAGTGTTACTTATAACAGCCAAGATCTGGAAACAGCCCAAGTTACAATGGGCTCACAAAATTCAATTTATGAAACACCTTGTTTATATTTTTACTAAATCAAATTTTGAAAGTGTACTTTTGAATGTCCATCAGTAGAGGAGTAGATAAAAAACCTGTGGTACATTTATCCAGTGGAATACTATGTAGCCCTAAAAAAGAAGGAACTCTTATTTTTGCAAGGGAATTGATGAACCTGGAGAGTATTATGCTAAGTGAAATAAGCCAGTCGGAGAAGACAAATAGCATATGATCTCACTTACATGTGGAATCTAATGAACAAAATAAACTGATGAACAAAATAGAAACAGAGGCATGGATACATGGAACAGACTGACACCTGTCACAGGGGAGAGGGGAAGGGGGAACTAGATAAAAGAAAGTGAAAGGATTTGCCAAAAAAAATATATGCGTAACCCACAGACACAGACAACAGTGTGGTGATGGCCGGGGGAGGTGGGAGGGGGTTGGGTGAGGTGGGCAAAGGGGGTAAAAAAGGAGACATCTGTAATAATGTCAACAACAACAAAAAATCCTAAAAAAAAAAAAAATGTCAAGAATATTTTCTTACTTCTAGTAGCCTGCCAAAAAAGTCTCTGTAAAATAGTTCTCCCATGCCTTTAAGTGTTATGCTATCCTTCCAGCCATGTAGTCAGCTCATATTTAATGAACATTTACTATGGCCAAGCACAGTCAGGAGCTGGGGATAAAATGAATTGGACCATAATCTGGGTGCTTAATCTCACGATACTTACAATTTTGTGGGTGAGGAGAACAGTTCATAAACAATGGAAATATATTATTGTGGGAAATATAGGGGCCCATAAAAGGGATACCCAATCTAGACAAAGGGCCACTGAAGGCTTCCTGAGGAAACAGCAGCTCATTCTTGCTACATTACTCATATTTAGCATGAAGCCAACATGTAGCCAGAAGAAGTCAGCTGTGTCCCTAACCCCTACAAAAGTGCCATAAATTCAACAAATACCTGTTGAGTCACTGGTGTTAGACTACCTGAAAAAAACATCAGAGTTACTATAATTACTACTCCTCCATTTCCCCAATCTATGTGGATTATTTTTATAACTGTAGGTTACCCTGATGCCATGAAAAAAATAAAATAAAATTTCCTAATAGCATTTTAATTCTGATCAATCCTAGAGCAGAGTGTCTCATTCTTCTTACGTCAACAGCCTGAACAAGATTTGATGACTCTAGCCATAAAAATCTTACAATGGGCTCACAGAATTGAGTTCATGAAACACATTGTTTATCTTTTTACTACATCAAATTATAAAGGTGCACTTTTAAGCATTTTCAAATTTCACTCCTAATTAGCTCAAGGACTCTGTCATAGACAAACTGTGCTCAGAGTCAACAGGGTGGGTGAGTTTTTGTGTGTATGTTAAGGGCTAATCTCAGTATTTTTGCTTTGAGGTTCATATAAACTTAAAAAAAAAAAAGAGTTAAAAAATAATAATGTTATAAATAGTGGCTTTGGATATTTTAAACTAAAATTCATTCTTAAATTTTGTTGCAATTCACTTTAAGAAGTTATGACAAAATCCATTATATTTTATTTTATTATGATGATGATGATGATGATTACTATTCTTTTTATCCTCACCCAAGGACACTTTTGTCTTTATCTTCAGATAGAGCAGGAGGGAGAGAGGGAGGGGGAGAGAGAGAGAGAGAGAGAGAGAGAGAGAGAGAGAGAGAGAGAGAGAAACATCAATGTGAGAAAGACACATCAACTGGTTGCCACCCAGACGAGAGGTACGTGCCCTTAGCAGGGAACTGAACCCAGGTCTCTTTGGTCCGAGGGCCAGCGTTCTAACTGCTGAGCCAAATCAGCCAGGAAAATCCATTGTATTTTAAATACTCTAGTCTCATTCCAAAACCCACCTTGCCAAGGCAAAAGCATCATCGATAAGACTTGCACGGTCAGCAGAAGAAAAGTCCTGGGAAAAGGAAGATAAAGAGGTAAGAAATGTGATTCTTAAAGCAAAGTATTAAGGAACTGTTCTTAGAACAAAAATACAACAATTCACAATCATTGCTACTCGTACCTTGTGGTTGGAGGAAAGAGTGGCAACTATCAGGTCCCAAGTTGGCACTTCATAATTTACACGATAAAACCCAATATGATCTGGGTTTATTTTAAGAAAAGCATTCCCACTGGGATTAGAAGGGTTCAAAGTGATTCCTGTGGGAGTAAATAAACAACTAATGAAAAACATATTTGCATATAATGTAAACACCAAGAAATTAGACCCAGAGGGTAAAGAGGAAAGAAAAGAAATATTAGCTCAAAGAGTTGAGTTTGATTTGGAGCCAAAGCCCCAAAGCCTAATTCTTATTTAGTTGCCTTGCTTTAGAATGTCACTGTAGTGTACATGCTGGGGAAAAAAAGTAATGTAAATAACTGCCCTGTAATTTGTGACTTATACTTTTCACTAGCATAAGCTTACCAACTGGGCAAAATAATTTTGTGCTTATCAATCCTCCAATAAAAGAAAGCAATGCCTAAAAACAGAGCAGTCATAATGGATTAATTAATTACACAAAGAATATTCACTGGAACAGCCTAGGGAGGAAACAAAAATGTAAACATTTAAAAGAATAGTTTGTTTATTAAAATCAACATTCAAATTGATGGAAATGGCTTTTGGTGAGCAGAATAATGATTGGAGAATCAGTAACGCTTTTAAAATGTCAAGAAGGCTTGTGATAGAGCTGAAATCCAAACATGACATTCTTGATTATATAATCCATTTCATACTTGCTCTTCCAATTTTATCTTTATAAAGTCTTCTACTTCCTTATTTCAATCGATTAAATGCTTTTTCATCAGTGGATTTTCTGAATTAACTTTCTAAAGTAGCAGCCACTATTTACATAGGGCTCTAGTACATAGATTTTAGAAGCGCAACATTGAAGGAACAGAGACTTCTGTTTTGGGAATAAAATACGCCCTTAAAATAACAACGATGCTCTGATATGACCAAATTTGTTAGCATTACTCTTGTACTTAAAAAAAAAAAGTATATATTTTTTGTTTGCATGGATAATGCACAATTTAAATAAGGGTGTGAGAATACTTAGCACAGGGAGGAACTGCATACAGTCTGACGTAGTGACGCTGTAAGATGTGATTTTGGAAAACAGGTGATGAGGCCGGAAAGAAGGGCTGGGCCTTCAGTGTGACGCCATGGGAAAGAACCCATCTGCTGAGGATGGTAAGATGGTGACAATTTTTTTACAGGGAAACAACATGCTTACGTCCATCTTCAAGAAAGATAATATTGATAGTGGTATAAGAAACACAGTGGAAGGCAGATCCTAGAGTCCCCTGGAATGATTTAGGGCAACAGAGAATGAGGGCTTCCACGAAGGTGGAGATGATGAAAAGAGAAAAAGATGATGTATTCAAGAGACACACCACAGGTAAAATCAACACAATTCCTTTTCTGCCTTGATGTGGAGAGTTGGCAGAGGGGGGAAATGGTTTGCACGTCAGGATGAAGGACGATGTCACCGTCAGAGAACAGAGGAAAAGGAGCCGGTTTGGGAGGAAAGACGATTTAACTTTTGGAAGTGGACACAAGGTTTGGAAGATATCCAGAACACGGTAGTTTTTTATGTATGTGGGTACCCTCTTCAACAAGACAATACGTTTCTCCAGGACCTGTCAGAGTAGGCACTTGACAAATTATAAACTTTTACCTCACTTGTGTAGTATTTATCTTTCTTTGTCATTCTCTCATGGACAAGTTGTTAAAAGGAAGCTAATCTTTTGGCAACTGTACACTTTGAATGTTTGTATCAGGAGGAGAGCCTCTTGCTAAGCACAGAGCCATGTGTCACAGGAGCGAGAGCATGGACTGTCGAGTCTGACAGATCAAGGATAAAATCCGTGCTCTGTGGTTTACTAGCTGTTTGATCTTGGCCAAATCACTTGACCTCTCTGTGTCCCAGTTCGCCGTGAGGGAAATAGGGATAAAATTCCCTCACAGGGCTGTTGTGAAGATTAAATAAGATAACTCAGCCAAGTGCTGGTCATATAGTTATGGGTCCAACAGATGGTAGCTGTCCCCATTATTATGAAAGGGGATATGCCACCAGCTCTATAAATAGCAAAGCAAATATAAATAACATTGAGAAGTTCCTGGCAATCCATCTAAACACTGCAGTATTTTAGTGTGCTTTATATATACCTAGTTAAGCCTGTCTAAAGTTACTGTGATTTTTCTCACTTTATAGACGAGGAAGCTGAGATCCAGGAAATTAGTAGTTAGGGACTTTCCAAGTTCATGCTTCTTTCAGACCAGTTGTCAGCAGCAAAATACTATTGGGTTGTTCAGCTACATAATGAAGTAATTAGGACTAAAATACCGATGCTTATTCCAGATGGCATATAGAAATAATATTATATTTTTATATCTTCTGTGTGTGTGTGTGTGTGTGTGTGTGTGTGTTTGTGTGGGTCTTCCATATACATGCACATACAAATACACAATATTCATAATGGAACCTTACTGTTTTTATGATTAGTAATCTTTTTCATTTGAAATTATATTGTAAATACCTACAATCTTGTTTTATATACATAAAAATGTAAATTTAATGGTCACATACTCTATTACTCAATTTATGAAATACTTTGTTTGTTTCTTGCTAATTTTAAGCCCAAAAGTGAATTCTTTCTAGTAGGTGCTCATTCTAGAAAATTGTTATTTTTTTCTTCTATTATTTTTCTAGATGGTACAGAAGACGAATAATTATCCTTTCAAAATGTCACGCAGAAATTATTTAATTTCAGTCCAAATAGATTCCAGTAACACAGAACACATAACAGTTTTTTAATGTACTATTTTATATGAATAATTGTAACAAACTTTAGCCAACTAGACAGCTTGTGATAACCTGAGAGTCCTAGGAAAAGAAACATTTTTCTTTGGTGATAAAAATGCTGTGTTGCATTAATCTTCATGTGAATTATTTTTCAGTGTAAAATGATGACATATATCTTATTAAATTTTGTGCATCACTTACTAGTAAAATAGCTGAAAGATACAAGGGTAGTATTCAATAAAAATTATTTTAGAGAAGAAAGGAGAGGGAGAGAGAAACATCAACGTGACTGTGAAACATCGATTGGCTGCCTCCTGCACACGCCCTACCAGGGACCTTTTGGTGCACAGGATGACTCCCAACCAACTGAGCCACATTGGCCAGGACCAAGGATAATAATCATGCACAAACTGTACTGAAGAGTTAAAAAGTTCAAGTAGAATGCACTATCAGGACTTGGGGTCAAGAAGAGTATTTCAATCTCTGGAACTAAGACTAACACGAAACATTGTAAAATGGATTGTTATCCATTTGTGGTAATGTTTTCAACAAGTTACTTATTCAAGAAAGTATTAATGATTGTGTCCCTTCTCAATCTCAGCACATGGCTTTAGAGACTCTCCCAGAAAAGAAAGGTGTAGTACTAATATGTAAAATGAACAGCAGGAATCTGGAAAAACGCAACCTGACTATCATGATGAAGGATTGTCATTAGCAGTGGTTTTGGTGATGGAGAAGACATATTGCAAAGAAGAGCTGAACACTGAAGATCTGTCAGTGTGTCTGCAGTCAGCCCAGGGGAGCAGGTGCCTGAGTAAACTGGTACATTTGTTCAGATCTTTTGACACAGCTGCTCCTCTAGAGAACAATGTATGTGGCAAAGACCTGTTAGTTATTTAACACACTGTTCCCATTTCCTCCTGGGTACACCGCTACACTGTATTTATTAGCCGCCTTTGCAGTTAGGTGTCAATATATGATTGAAAACTGGCCATAAATACGGGCAAAAATAATAAATGCTCTTCTAGGCCTGGTCCCTCCACAATCTTGCTCTGTCATCTGGCCAAATGTAAAAGATTCAGCAGGGAGTCCAAGATCCAGGGGGGTGATAGAGCCATAAAGATAAAGAAAACAGAATTTCTAAGTCATTATTTGGGGGAAAGCCACCTAAAAGAAATGGCAGGTCAAGAATACTTCCATTAGACTGTTGTATGAATAAGAAGTTTCTGTTGCATAGAGTTGCTACTGACAGCCTCTAAATGCAACAATTAGACTCCCCTAGTGAATGCAGTATATACACTATCCCAGCCTGATGACATCTCTAAAATAACTAATCTAGCTTAGATCCCTCTTTACTCTTATTAAGTAAACTTTCTTCCTGGGAAAGATAACCGAATTACCTGACATGAGTATTCTGGTTCACTCTGGCAAGTATATCTTTATTTGTGTAAATTGACAAATTAGCATTCTCATATGTCGGACTTATGTGAATAAATCTTCCAAGACTTGGTTGATCAGGGCTGGACTAATGAAACAGAGCTTCTGAAGCTGCAAAACTGAATCATTAATGATGATCCAATCAAAATTCAAACATTCCATTAGACTCAACTTGAAAGAATAAAGAAAGTCTCTTGCTCTCTTTTTGCCAGTAAATTAAAAAAAAAAAAATATTCCCATCATTGTTTTGATATGAAATATTTAAATACAGCTATTATCACATTTTAGTAATATCCTATTTGTATGATAGTCAGAATTTGGCCATCTAAACCATCCAGAATGAATTCTCAAATTTGAGAGAATAAAGAAGACAGTCATCACAAGGTCACGATGAAGAATTATGCTCTATACATTTTTTTTTTATTCTTAGGACAAGGATACTTTTCTATTTATCATCAGATAGAGTAGGAGGGAGGGAGACAGAGAGACAGAGAGAAACATCAATGTGATAGAGCCACATCGACTGGTTGCCTCCTGCAAAACCTGATCAGGGCTGGGGAAAAACCACAACCAAGATACCTGCCCTTGACCAGAATCGAACCTGAGACTCATTGGTCCATGGCTGACACTCTAACTACTGAGCCAAACCAGCCAGGGCTGCCCTAGGGCTGCCTTACATTGTTTTCTTTTTTTCCTTTATTGATTTTTAGAGAGGGAGGAAGGGAGAGGGAGAGAGAGATAGAAACATCCATGAGAGAAAATATTGATTGGTCGCCTCCTACATGCCCCCCACTGGGGATTTGGCCCACAACCTGGGCATGTGCCCTGACTCGGAATTGAACCAGCAATGTCTTGGTACATGGGTCGATGCTCAACCACTGAGCCTCACGGGCCGGGTGCCCTACATTTTTATAC